TATGTATGTATGTATGTATGTATGTATGTATGTATGTATGTATGTATTTTTTTCCTAGAGAGGTTCTTTTGCTTCTGCAGTCGACGGGGCCCTTGTGGCCGTCCAGCAGCGCCGCTAGAAGTAGTCGACGACGTAGGTTCCAAGCCTTCGAGCACCATGTCATCTTCGGTCTGACTTTCTTCTTCTGGGTTCTCCTGTGTGCCTGCAGTGGAGCCATGAGTTGGCTCTGGCGGTGGTGGTGCTTCTGGTCGTCCAGTGTGCTTGTCTCCGGCAGTCTGGCTGGGTGTCATGGCCTGTGCCGGTGATGAGTCATCGTCTTCTCGGGCCGTGAGGGGCGTTGAGAAGTGCAATCTTTCGGTCTGGGTCCTGCGGTGGACAGTGGTGTGTCAAGCTCTGGTTGGGGTTCAGCCCGCACACCTTCAGCAGGAGTGGGAGGTGTGGGCTTGAAGAATGTGTGGATCGGTGGTGATCCTTTGGTTCCTGCTCCTCGACATTCCTTGAGGAAATTGGCCGAGCTGATGATTCTTCGATTGCTGTCAAGATGAAGCTGCAGGCCACAGAGGGTGCAGCTAATCTTGTTGCCCTTTTGCCATAGCTGGTGACTGGGATGGCCAGTGTGTGTGCCATCAAATGGACAATCCAGGCAAGATCCTTGGATGCAGTCATTGAAGGCCTGTTCATTGACACGTTTGTGGACACTGGTGCCACACTTGGTGCACTTTAGATATCCCTTTGTCTCATCGAAGTGGTGCCTGCTAGGTGCCGGGGCCGTGTTGACTTGAGCCTGGAGGAGATTTCGGATGATTTGGACTCGGTGAGCTTCTTGGTTGGCTGTGGTGCCTCCGGTTGGGACATGCCTGGTCTGCTTGGTGTTGCATGCAGGTTTCTGCCAGTCGTTCTTCTAGCTGTTGTGCTGTCAGGCCTTGGTTGGTGATTTTGGTCTCTGTGCCACTTGCACAGCCATAGCACATGCTTCGGTGTAGCTGGAACCTGACAAATGGGACATGGCTTGGTTCCGGTAGCATCTTTGAAATGGAGTGCTCCCTGAACCCATGTTTGTAGAGCTTGCCCTTGAGCTGCCGGAAGGTGTGCCAGTCCAACCCTGTGAGCAGGTGTTGATGGTTGGGGCGTCGGGCAAATCTGTGGGTCCTCTGCTGCTGTGCTTCGTGGTAGAACAGATGTTCTAACTTCCACCATTGCTCTGTCATGTGCACTTCATTGGCAAGCAGGAGGTCTGTCTCAGGCCTGGTCCAGTGGAGGAGATCCTGGACATCCCAACCCCATTCTGTCATGTATGCTATCGTTGCTGCCATGGGTCCTTTGACCGTGTACCAGGGGTGTTGTTTGCTCTGCAGATTAGCGTGGGTGGTCTTCCAAGCTTGCTGCAGTTATGGAAGTTGGTCTGATGGCCATGCCTGGAGGAGCTGGTGCATTGCCCTGACGTGGTGGATGATGATCTGGTCACCTGGGTCCACATACTTGTCTTTGCGTATGTCATAGGTGACATCAAGGATGCCCCCGTTGTGGTGTCCAAGCTGATTGGCCAATGCATGCCGTAGTGCCAGTCTGTATCTTGGTGCCAATCCTTGACTTTCAACCCCCCATACTGCAACTGGTTGTATGCCTCCTCTGTGCAGCCGAAGTCGGACTCTCAATGCTGGTATCTTCAAGTTTCTGAGCTTGAGTCGACGCTGGTTTGCCTTCTGCATACGCTGCTTCATGACCGGAATCCTACGAGCTCTGCCTGCTTGGTGGTCAATGCCTAGATCTCGCATGACCGGGACGACTGGAGGTTCGTCCTCTGTGAGGATGTCTTTGTCTTTGTCGTCCTCTCAGTCCAATAAAAGCAGTCTTTTTGGCGCTGACCTTCATGCCAAGTTCTGTGAGTCTGTGGTGCAGATCTCTGTAGGCATCCACTGCTTGTTGTGCAACCCTCTGAGGTGTTGTGCCTGCTGTGTCGTAGCCGATGTCGTCGACCCAACTGGAGAGGTGAATGCGCTGGCGCTGCGCATGCCAGGGTGCAAGGGCGGGTGTGAGGATTGCTTTGGCTAGGAGTGGTGCTTGTGGGCAGCCTGCAGGGACTCCTTGGTCAACGTGGAAGAAAGGAGTCATTTCTTGTTCTGCAACAATTGCTTTTGGGCCTGTGTACATCTGCATGGCCATTTCCAGCATCAGCGGTGGTAGTTGATGGCCATGGCTTGGTCCTGGAGCCTTTGTAGCTGGATGGTGTCATAGAAAGTCGAGAGGTCCATGAGGACGGTGACTCCATGACATTGGTTGGCTCGATGGACCTCTTGACGTAGGAGCCTCTCCAGTGCCACGTGGAGGACATTTGCTCCTGGCCTGGCACGGTCGTGATTCATAAAGTCTGGTAGGTCAGCCTGCCATGCATCCAGCATGGGCTTCCTGAGTCGACGCCATAACCGGTAAAGAGTTGAGGTTAAGGTGATCGGCCGCTCAATGGTGGGGTTTTTTTGCAAGCATGACCACCATGTGCATCTGCAGTTGTGTTGGTAGCTGGGCGGACTGTTCCATGTCCTGGATGAGTTTGAGCAAGGGCCCAAGAGCAAGTGGTGGTGCCGTCCTGATTAGTTGAGCCGAGACAGCGTCAGGCCCGCTGGCTGGCTGTGTGTATGTATGTATGTATGTCTGTATGTATGTATGTATGTAGGTAGGTATGTATGTATGTATGTATGTTTTTCCTAAAGGTGCTTGTTCGAGGCCCTTTGGCGGTCTGGTCCTACTGCCAGGCTCAGGTTGGTCAGAAGAAGTCCACGTCGATCATCTCATCGTCAGTGGCTGGTTCCTCCTCGGTCCCCTCGGTTCTGGCATCATTTCCAGCTCCTGGTCTTGTCTGGTTCTGTTCCTGTTCCATGGCGCTTGCCTCAGGGGTTGTCTGTCTTGTGCTGGTCGGTGTCCTCCAGTGGCCGGGTTTCTTGGCGTGTGGTGACTGCAGTTGCCTGTTGGTCCGGCTGAGTATCATGGCCAGCTGTGGTTGTTACCACCTGTGTGGCTGTAGCTTTGGAGCTTTGGGATTGTGTTCGAAAGATCTGGAGCAGTGTGGGCGATCTTTGGGTGTTACCCTTAGTTACTCTGGCATGCCTTCGTAAGCGTCTTGGTCATCACCAGCCTCTCCTCTGCATCCAGGTGGCTCTGGGTCCCGCAGTTGAGACACTTTATCCCTTTGCCTTTCTGCCACAGGGAGTGGGTTGTGTGTCCTGCATGGGGCTTTGTGTAGCTCTCATCAACGCAGCGGCTGCGGATGAAGGCTTGGAAGCTCTCTTCATTTGTTCTTTTGTGGATGGATAGGCTACACTTGGTGCACCTCAGATAGCCGGTCGTCTCTTGGAGATTGTGCTCATCTGCCACTCGTGGCTGCTGTTGTTGGAGATCCAACAATTGCTTGATGGTGCTTGCTCTGGTGGTTTTCTGTCCCACTGGTTTGTTGCGCCGTAGGTCTGGTTCCGGGGCCTCGTGTGCCAAAAGTTCACAGTCTTGCTGAAGGCGTTGTTCAATGATCTGAACAGTCAAGGCTTGGTGCACCCTTGTGTGGCACGTGTGGCATTGGAACCCGCTCCTGCGTGGTTCCCACTGGTGCTTCTCTGGCTTCCCTGAGCTTGCACTGGTTGATGATGTAGTGTTGTGGGTCTTTGTAGGTCTTCTCGAGCCTTGCTGCTGCATGTTTGTAGACCTGGAGGTGGTCTTGGTCGAGGGTCCTTTGCCAGGCTTCTGCATGCTGATCGTAGATTGTGGATGCCCTTTCATAGGCTGCCAATGCTGCATCCCTTTGCCTCCTCCTGAGGTGTGGCTCGCTCTGGGGTCCTCTGATTCTTGTGGATGTACAGAGGTGCGATGCGGCGGAAGAGGTCCTCATCGAAACCCTTGGCAAGGTCTTCGAATCCTTTCCTTTTTGTGGGATTTGTCCAAGCTTCCCAAACTGAGCCCAGCTGGATGATCACGTTGATCGGGGTGAGAACACGCTGGGCTAACGTGATGAGGCCTTGAAACAATGCCCGGGCTTTGGTCTGTTGACCTGGTGCCATGCCCGTTATGGTACCTTTCCTCAGTAGTGTCCCCAGCAAAAAGGTGTGGATACAAAGCGCGAAAATCCACGCCTGGGATCTCTGGTCGTAGGAGGATGGTGTGGCATCCAAGGTGACCGACAAACCTTGCCATGGTTGCAGCGGCATTGGTTCCAAGGTGTTCCAACACCCTTGCCCCTGGACTTGCAGATGGTCTTGTGGTTCTTTGGGTACCCAGCCATGGGCCCATAAGGGCTCTTCGAATGGGTCCAGCAACCCCTGGTGGAGGCCTAAGTGCTGGTTGGACTCCTCCTCGATGTAGGCGGAGCCTGGTGCGGAGATTGGGGAGCTTGAGACTGCGAAGCTTGATCCTCCGTTGTTTGTTTTTGCGGAATCGTTGTTGCAGTGTAGCTATCCTCCGCCGTCTGCCCGCTGAGTGGTCAATGCCCAAGTCTCGCATCACCGTCTGGATTGGTGGGTCGTTGGGACTCATGAGATTGGCCAGCTCTTTGTGGATGGTCTTATCTGTGACGATGAAGGCTGTTTTGTGGCTATTGACAACCAACCCAACCCCTTTCAGCCCGTCTCGAAGCTGATGCCAGGCCTGAAGTGTCCGCTGGGCTAGATGCTGCCATCAAAACCTACATCATCGACCGATCCATTGAGGCGCAGGTCCCGGTTGTCCTGTTGGAATTGGGTGAGGATGGGCTGCAGCGTCTTGGCTAGTAGTGGTGCTTGTGGGCATCCCGCTGCCACCCCGCTTGTGACATGGAACCATGGGCTGATCTCCCCTTCTGCTAGTGTCCAGTGTAGACTTGCATGGCAAACTCCAGAGCCAAGGGTGGGTATCGCAAGTCTTGTGCCGTTTGCTGAAGGAGCTGGAGGTCAATTGTGTCGTAGAAGGTGCTCACCCCCTCCTCTCTCAAGTGTATGTAATGTATGTATGTATGTATGTTTGTATGTATGTATGTATGCATGTATGTATTAATGTAATGTAATGTAATGTAATGTAATGTAATGTATGTATGTATGTATGTATGTTATGCTGTGTTGTGTTATGTTATGTTATGTGATGTTATGTATGTAACGTATGTAATGTATGTAGTATATGTAATGTGTTAATGTATGTATGGATGTATGCATGTCTGCATGTATGATGTGTGTATGTATGTATGTATTTGATTCAAAATTATCAGTTTAATTTACTTTAATTTAGTTTAAATTGACTTAATGTAATGTAATGTAATGTAATGTATTTATTTATGTATGTATGTATGTATGTATGTAATGTAATGTATGTATTGTATTGGTATTGGTACTTATGGTATGATATCGTATGGTATGGTATGGTGTATGGTGTATGGTGTATGGTGTATGGTGTGGTGTGGTATGGTATGTATGTATGTATGTATGTAATGTAATATTGTATTGTATTGGTATTGGTATTGGAATGGAATGGAATGGAATGGAATGGATGCATGTATACGCATATATATATATATATATTATACTATATAGGTATTACATAATGCATATAATACGTCAAAATATATACATATATATAAATATAACCATAAATATTTATATAATACATATACAGATATGCATATATACATGGGTCCACACCTGTTCACATACATTGTTGAGACCCCCGCTTGTCAAGCAACTGCCAATTGCCTTACCCAGGTGAACATTCTTTTCCTGGGCTGTTTGCTGGGCATTGCCACTTGGCCAGCAGATGCCGCTTCAGTACGAGAACATGAGGATTTGAGGCCAACAAAATCCAGTCTTTGTCAAGACAGATGATATAGATGATGCAAACGTTCAAAGGAACGAGCAGTATGGCGTTCACGATTGGCTTGTTGAAACCCACAGTACCGTTTCATTACACATCAAACATCCACATCTCGTGGGCACCTTTGATGGATTTTTGAACATGAATGTGTTTTCCAAGAGAAGACTATGCCAATCTGGAAACCGAGTGTAAAGGGGTCATAGACAATGAAACCGTTTCATCTCACCGAGACCGCTACCGCTGTGCGGTGAAGCCTGGCCGACCTGACCCAGGCCACCAGCCTGCATGGATGTTCCGATGAAGCCACGAGCTCAGCGAGTCGTGCGACTCGTGGCTGCCGTGCCACTGGTGCAGTTGAGGCAGCAGTGGAACAAGCTAGAGATGAAGCCATGAAGGAGGGAGAGGCCGAGATGCGAGAATGCGAAGGTTTGCTTCGGGGAATCTCAAAACATCTCAAAACCATGGGCGAGTGAATCTGTTCACCAGCCAACGGTTTGAAATTCTATGCTTCTTGAGTGTTGCTTGCTAAAGAGAATCGTTGGGGCGGTGCCGGCATTCTGAGAGGCTCTGAAAGGCGTCCAAGATGCCGTCAGATGCTTGGCAGCAAGCGTGGACCTGGCTGATCCGCTTTGGTTGCTTCCCGGTTTGGTGGTGGACATCAATGTCAGAAGCAAGATGATCACCATGTCATACTAGTAAGGAAAAGGTCACACATGAACCGCAGTTATATACCTTTAGACTTGGAAGCTCTAGAGTCCACAAGATGGCAGTGATGAGAAGGGCGTGAAGAGAAGAAGGCTGTTGGGGTGATATTTGTTTAGACGTGGATGATGTGCTCAAGCTGCCATGGAGGTGAATATAATCAGCAGAAAGAGAAGGCTGTGTCTGCTCGGGACAACGTTCAAGCTAAGAAGGACATGGGTTTGAGTGCTTCTGGACATTGAGATTTATCCAGTGTAGAGCAAAATGGAAGGTTCCAGAGTTACAGATGACAACAGAATAAAACTGCACTAGAGGTTTTTGCTTCATTTCTTAATCGCTTTTGCATCAATAGCATGTTGGTGCTTTGTTGGGGGCGAGATCTTGCGTTAGGACAGCTTCAACAAGGCCAGACTGGGACGCACATTCCCATTCTCCAACCCTGACTCCACGCTTGTGTGCAGGTCCTTGCAGATGAGGGAAGGAAAGCAGAAGGAGACGAGGCGGTTTAAGCAACATCGACGACTCTGGAATCTGCGGCAGATCTCAAGTGTCGACCCACCCCTCCACAATCGAAATCTTCACCTTCTTTACCAAGTGACTGATGCCCAGGCGGCGGCTTTGGAAGATGCTGAGAAGATCCTCAAAGAACAAACGGCCGCTGAACAAGCAGAGGCTGCAGTGGAGCACGGGGAGAAGCCCAAGAAAGGCGCAGCAGAGAGTTGAAACTCCAGGTATCTCCATGTTGTATTCATCCATCAAACCCTTTCTGTATCTCCTGGTATCTCAAGCGTTTTAATCATCCATCCTGGTACTGTATCTCGCAGCAGAGAGTTTAAGCTCCAGTTTATCCTAACATGACATGGACAAACTCTTGGAACTTGGAATTTTCGACCATCAACCATCCATCAACCCCGCGAAATCGCGGCTCGCAGGCTCCAGCCTTTTGATGAAGCCTCGGCCCAGGAAGCTTGCCTCGGTCGACGAACCCCCCCGGTCGCGTGTCCTGATGTTCGCTGTGCTCCGCAGGAGCACCGCAAGACATCTCAAGCACGCGGAGTTTTTGTACTGCGCTCAGTGAGCGCAGCACGTTTTGTGTGTTTGGCACCGTCAGGTCGGCCGAATGCACCGTCAGGTCGGCCAACACCAAACTGCAGCTGTCAAGTTAGAAAGCAGCGCGAAAGCTGCGGCGATGAATGAACGAAAAGCCCGCCGGTCTCCACAGGTGAATCATGATGAATCTATCAGCGACTTAGCACCTTTGGCAGGTTTGCTTTCACATGGTGTTTGCGGTTTGCAATGGTGCGTTGCTGGAGGACAAGCAGCGGCTGATCAAGCATTTGCAGGAGCAGGCGAGCAGACAGTTGCAGATATTCCCGGATTGCTAGTGTGGAAAATTGAAAGGTCCAACAAGCGGGCAGACATGGGCCCAATAAAAAGCTTTGAGACATATGGTTCGTACGCTAGATTACTGTAGTCATCTTTGCTTCCAAAAGAATCTCTCATGCACTCTAGACAATGACCACATGCGCGACGCCATCGCAGCGAGGACGGACGATCTGTCACCTGAAGACTCTGCCTCTGACAAGCGAGAATGGACAAATTTGTGGCCTGCCACACACAAGTCATGTGAAGGGCTAGATGTTGGTGAGCTGTCTAACATGGAGCAAGAAGTAGCAAACTTTTACAGCACCTAACTACCACTTACAAAGTAGAATTGAAATCCTCCTCCACCTTCACGTTTAACACCAGAAAACCCATAACCAAACATAAAAGGTACTAAAAGCACGCAACTTGATGTTAAGTTGTAGATATGCAATTGGCCCACAACAGGTTTGCAACCATTCCATTGTGTTGACATTGACCGACACATCAATTGCGTCCTTTGTTGACTAAAGATGCTGACAAACTGCATGGGTTGACCAGGCTTACGTGGAGCTCTTTGCCTCTCCCATCGCCGGGGTGGGGGTCCGCGCCTTCCGGCCGATCCCAAAGGGAGTGGATCCCTTCCCCATTTGCAATATGCACATGGCAGCCAAGGACGGCCGAAATTCACTCAAGACGTGTTTTCGACACGAAGGATTTGAGCGCTTGAAAGTGTTCGCTGCGAGGAGCGCTTTTGTGTTCTCTCTGCAGAAGAACTCAGGGCAATGCCACCTGGGGTGTTCGAGAAAGTGCAGTCCTCGGAGGAATTCCGGGATACATGGAGTGTTGCTTTGTAACAATGCATCTGCATTCCCTCCTTGTGCATGCTTACACGAACTGGGGTGTCAATGCTTTTATTTAAATCATAATGTTCAATGAAGAGGGAATTGTTGTTTCATTCGTTGCAGTTGGTATGTGACAGCTAGTAGGCGGTTAGTTACAGGCTTGTCATCGATTATTTTGATTGACTTGGGCGAAGGGGCAAAGTTCCTCGGTGTCACTAGAAGCGCTCGTGTTTCTGAGGTCAAGTCCTTCTTTGCTGCATTGACTGAAGATGATGGCTGGACACCGCAGACCAATCGGAAGGGTGAGGTGGCCGCGATGTAGAAGCCTTTCACGTGACCATGTGACATGTGACCATTGGCCACCCAATGTTTACATTGTAGATGATCAGAGTGGGAACACTACCATGTGCTGACACAGATCATCTATGGCGTGCTTTCGACTGGCATGAACAATTTGAACCTATCTTGGTTCCCCTGCCATGTTTGTGGGTCTTTTGCCCTAGCCAGGTCTCCTGGCAAAACTGGATGTGTGGAGCTTCCACATGGAAAAAAGTCGGTCACGACAGTTTAGTTCGAGTAGTCACCTGCGCTGCTGTCTTTGGCTTTGATCGCAGCTGTCTTGGCAGGTATTTAAACCACTCCGATGATCCAAATATCGAGTTTCAAGATGCCTGGGTCCAAGCGACACTTGCAGTGTAACGAAGGCAGCGAGCGCTAGGTCATTAAAGGTCACTTGCAGGAAATCTTTGGAATAGTTAGTCAGGATGGTTGTATGAGAGAGACTACTGTAGTTCAGTTCGAAAGAGGCTTATCCATGACCACGGTCATCTGTCCAGGTCTTCAAGAAAGAATCGGAAGTTTCATGCAACTTTGAGGTGCAGGTCTCTTTGGACACGACACCAACACCTCTTTTGAATTCTTATGTTACATTCCTTTTGCCCCATGTTACAAGGGATTGGTAGTACTACATCAGTGCCAAACATGCCTATTACTGATCAATACGTTTTCTTGCATGTTGGGTTCCCAGCCTAAAGACGACATACCGTCTAAGGCGGAAGAAGAAGGCGGATACAACTCCTTTGTCACCAGGCAAGCCATGTTTTTTACATGTTTAATTTTATATGAGTAAGGAAGCTTCAAGACACTTCAAGTGACTATTCTTCGTGAGGTATGGATCTTTGGATCATTTTGGATCCCTTTGATGGATGATCTTTGGGATTTGTCATTCCATAATTGGATATTGGTTCCTTCGGATGGATGGATTAACGGATTATTTATTGATCTAGAGCAGAGCTTTGCTTTTGTGGAAAACATGCACGCCAGGCGTGAGATCCAAGCTGGTGAGGAGTGTGTTTTCTCGAGAGCGGCGTGATTTGTCCCGAAATGTCTTGGAAATTGTTTGGTTCTCTATGGTTCTCTACTAGGGGCCTTTTTAGAAGCGTTCACGAAAACCCATTCTTGGCATGTTTCATAAGTCATAGTAAGAATTAGCACAACAGCATCTTGGGTCAGGAATTCTTGCGTCAACTCCAACAATCGTTGGGAATCTTCGAAACATTGCAGGAGCTCACCACCGACTACAGAGAATTGGGAAAGGACCGGAGATAATGTAATCGCAGACACCGAAAACAATGTATTTTCTGATTTTCTTCTGGATTCAATCATTCCATTGAAGGAATTCTTTGAATTGATTCAACATCCTGATTGAGAATAAATATCAAAACAAACAATAAACACCAATAATTGTCAATATTTAATTATACCGTATATTTTTAGATTCAGAATTCATAATTTAAAGAAAAGGAATTGGTTAACACAAATATATTAGGGAATTTATATAGATAACAATATCGAAATATTTCATGAATTACGATGAAATTATCGAATATATATGTTTAATATTTAGATTTTTTAAACCCACATTGTATATATATTAATTTATATTTATGTATATTTATATTGCTATGTTTTGATTGTAATTTTGTATTTTTTTATTTTGTATGGAAGGTTTTTTATTTTATGTTATTAATTTAATTTTAATAATATAATTGGTATATTGTCGAAAATATATTTGATTGTTTTTTAAATATATAATGTTAATTATTTTAATTAGATTTATTTATTTATAGGCTTATTTAGGTTGAATTGAATATTTTCAAAATAATAAATAGGTATATTAATTTCTATTTATTTGATAAATTTTAAACTACTAATTGGTAATATTTTTTATGGATTTATAAAATTTATTGTAATTAGTAAATAATGAACATTTATACCAATCGCGTGGTATTTATTTTAAACCATAATGATAGCAAATAGCATTAAATTTGAATAATAGGCTCCATGCACCCATTGCAACTAGAAAGATTGAATCTTCGTTTATGCTATTTTTTATTTTGATCGTCTATGTGATGCGATATTGTTTTTTTATTACCACATCGCCTTAATAAGTCGCGGTTCTAAGAATTACGAAGGTTCTAAGGCAACCTTTAACGGACGTGACCGTTTTATTCGAACAACTCTTATCTCGTCTTAAAGCCTCTGCAGAAATTTAAAGCTTTAAGAAGCTAATACCACAAATTCAAACAGGTTGTGCTTGCTAATAAACTGGTATACCGGCTGCTAGTTGGCAATCAAATAGCCTACCCAGGTTAAGTGCACCTAGCTTAAAGCCCCGGCCCTTCTGCTTTGGTCTTTTTGTTGGAAATTGAAGTGTTTTTATTGAACTAACAAAACCGTAATAAATCTTTTATGCCAAATAAATTTTGCAACACCTCATTACTCCAAATATAAAGTGATTGGACCCTAGGTATATTAAGTGTTCGAGGTTTTCCTGGCCAACTGGATTTGGTTGGTTAAATTGCGACGATTTTTTTAAAAAATCCATTATATTTTTGGTGGCCAAATCCATTTGGCTGAGTGGTTTTGCTTAGAAAACCCATCCCAATCTGGAAGCTCGGTTGGCCCCAGAAAAGCGATGGGTTTTTTAAAAAAACCATCACAATTTCATAGGTTTTGGAAAAATCCATCACTTTTTGAAGTTGGGGATGAGCTGGAAAGTTTGACGGGTTTTTGTTTTCCTTATTTAATTGCGACAGGTTTTTCAAAAAATCCATCCAACTCATTCATTCCTGCAAGGCCCCATTGATCGAGCTTGGCCGGGCGCAAGGCACCGAAGCTTCGGGCGCACATTGCACCTATAAGCTTCAAGTATTTGCGTCCGACTGCTCCAAGTATAATCTTCCAATCCAAGATCGTTGAGCCTCCGCTCCTGAGCACCAATACAAGGTAAATGTCAAACCGAGAAAATTTCATACGTCCAAGTTGGGCATTTTGAGCAATCAACATATAATCGTAGTGGTTGGTGCTTCCAGCTGGCTCAGGCAACCCTCGGGGCCGCACAGACCTAGATCAATACATGATTCCGCAGAGGGTCGAGAAAGATCTGGCAAATTGTGTGAAGTACGAGTTGGACCTATTGAAGTTGCAGCGTCCCGGTCAAAGTCAAGCCTTTTTTTTTGCAGCTCCGACAGGCCCACGTTCTCCATCCAAGCGCTTTAAAAATCTTGAAGCGAAAGCTCTATCAAAATGTGGCGCAAAACTTTTGAAATAGTGGTGTTTGGCTGTGGCGCCAGAAGCGGTGGATTATGTTCGTGGTTGTGAGGAAGGAGATGGTCTCTGCGTATTCTTCACACGTAACGTCTCCATCATCATCATATCTCCACGCTGGCATGGCTGCCCACTACGAAGAAATCTAAAATCTTGAAGTTCCATGACCGTATATATAGGTCAATCTTGCGTGTATCAGGCGCATGTGGATGTCGCCTCATTCTTAGAGCTCTTTGCTCCCAAACAGGACCGAATAAACTACATGGTTGTATTACATGCTTTTAACGGAGCCAGCAAGAAACATGACAACAAGGTTCTATTCCAGATCAAACACCCATTTGTTATTTGGAAGACACCCGGTTCAAGCTAGATGAGCCTTTATATAGATATATTTTTATATATAATTTATATTAAATATTATTTCTATCTTAATCCGTTGGGCGTTGTTATTTTCTATAGGATGATATTATGTGGATCTCCGTTTGTTTTGATGTGTTGTTGGATTTTCGTCTTGGCTTTGATTTTATTAAATTTACACTTGGAAATTTTAAGTTTAAACACTATAATTGGAAGTCTACCATTTCATACACCAGAGTCCATTTATAAATGGCTTGAACGTCTTGGAGAAAAATCTCTTGGGAATTACATAAATGGTCGCATTTCTCATTCGCCGATATTAATATCTGTGTATTTAAAGAATCTATTGTTATTTTTCGTTTTTGCAAGGAAAAAATATTTTCGATATACGGTGCGATAGGTTTTGGCAAATCATCTTTAATCCGCATTATTTGTACGGCCTTCTCCAGGTATTAGGCCAAAAAATGCAATAAAAAGACGAATTAATTTTTCGCACAATTAATGAATTTGATTTTTCTACGGCCGAATGGATCATTTAACAATTTTCCAAGAATTTAATAATTAAGAAATTGGAGATCTTTGTTTAATGCAACAACCACGTACATGATATATAAAATGGCACCGGCATAGGCAAAAATACATCTAAGACAATTACTATTTCTGTGCTAAAGCGATTTAGCATTTGCATTAATAAACACATACCCAATCAATCACGTCAGAAGGTAATAAAGAGGTGGCTGCGCAACGCGTCCGTCTTCTTGCAAATAATTCTTTTCTTCGACCAATTGCAGGTGAAAGGTATATACAATATCGGCATGGCAACAAGGACCCCCATTCAAATTTCAAAGATATGTTGATTGGAAGACAAATTTCTTCCACCCTGATTACCGTCTGTTCAAGGGCATGGCTTGTTCACGTATTCCTCCACAGAGTTGCCGGCAATGCCTTTGTCCCCTTTGTTACCCATCCATTGCAAAGTGGAGCCGAATGAGAATTTCCTGGATCAATCGATAAAACCTCCAAAAAAGAAGATTCCAAAAGGAAAGGAGCCAAAGAAGGATGCCAAAGGCCATAAATCAGAAACCCGTACCCTATATTTAGGAATTTGCCCGAGACAACCGGGAAAGCTTCCATGCAAACCCCCCGGGCTGAAGATTGTAAATCGCCATTGTATTCCGCCAAAGCCCAATCCCAAATTTGGGGATCCACACCGGGGAAGTGTGAGGGGAGCGGTTGACGCATAAGCGAATTGCCGTGAAGGATTAGAGATTGATTTGATCCATCGGTGAAAAGCAAAGCCCGTGCCAGCTGCGAGGCATAAGAAACGAAGAAGGGAGGAAATGTCGGAGGGGGATCTTGGATATATTGGGATTGATGGGATCAGCAATCTGCCGGGCAACGTCGAAAGATTTTTCGGTAAAATGCAATTAAACATATAATCAATTGGATGACAATTGAGGGCCTTGCAATTACATCGCCTGGACAGATTTGTGGGTGGAAGGCAAGCGGGCAATAGAATAATATGACGTGGTTCATGATCAGATAGGGCATATTCTTTAGAGATTGGATATTGTTATTGATCAGGCCGTTGAATAAACATCGATGCCGTGGATGGATTCAAAGAGACCTCAATCTTCATCTATTTCGGTGTATTTTGAGGCGAAGGGATGTCCAAATCGATTGGCAAATCAAATATTTGAAGATATATGATGGGGAATGAACATCTTCTGAATATTCCAAATTGATCATGAATAAGATGAATAAGGTGATAATCAATATGATCATATATTTCCTATAACCGATATTCATCATCATCAAAAGCCTGCATTTGGCGGATTTTATTCTTCTGATCGATATTATGATGAAATATTTTTGCAAATGATACATATTGAATTAATTTTCATTTATCTGAAATTCATAATATATATATATATTTTTAATAATTTATAGATTATAATTGTTTTTAATATCTTTATATATATATATTATTTGCAATGTTAAAATATGATCTTTCTTCATAACTTATGCGCAATTATAAATAATAAGCCTTGTATATAATATTATATCTATTATATGCCTCATGAAATTCATAATATTCATGGGATTTTTTTCCGCATATGGAATCAATTACCAAATGATGAAGATGATGAAATGGATGCGGATGAAGGTATTTCTGGGATGCATCTATAAACAGAACCATCATTATTCTTCAAAAATTCTAGATGTGCCAATTTTCGTCTCCTCCCAGGGATTCTTTAGAATTTCATTATATATATCTCTGTTCAATCCTTTGGATGCAATTTTGGACGCAATACGAACCTCTGAAATTGGAATAGATAATAAATATTTAATCCATCGGATTAATAATATATATTTCTTTAGAGAAAATAAATACAATTTATTACGACGGAACAAAAATGACGACATCAATATTTGAATTTAATCGATTCATATTTTGCCAGGAATCCAATATCTTCAAATTTGTTTCCCTCAAGACGCACTTATCTCCGACGTTAAAGGGGTAATTTATTCAAATAAAAAGAATTAATATTTAATTATATAATTTGGTCTTTATATATATATGGAAAGAAATTAAAAATATATTATACGAAGGATTCCATATCATCTAGCTTATATCATATATAATTTAAAAGAAAATAATATATATTCATCGATTCCAAATAATATATAAATTATAGTGTCGAATATGGATTAAATTTTCGTCGTTGTAGTCAATAGTGC